AAAGAGATTTGCATTCCTTTTTCACAGAGCACGTCACTCTGTGTGGAGTGTCACTTAACTATTCTCATTCAGGTTGTTTCTAATCTTTTGTCAACTCATAAAGGATTCTAATGAATAAGCTTGTCCAAATGTGATTTTGCATTTATGAGTCAAGATCTGTGGGATAAACTCAGCATATTGTTCCTAACTCCTCCTCCCTCTCTCTTCATGGCTACTATCTAGTCTCCATACCCAGATTCTTCTGTTTACTTTTTTGTTTTTTGGTAGGGACGGAGTCTTACTCTGTTGCTTCCCAGCTGGAGTGCAGTGGTGTGATCACAGCTCACTGTAGCCTGAAACTCCTGGGCTCAAGTGATCTTCCCGACTCAGCCCCTTGAGCAGCGGGAATTAAACTTGTAAGCCACCATGACCAGCCATATCCAGATTCTAAAACAAATCTGATCATGTTGCTCCCCTGGCTCAAAATCACCCTTAATAACTGGCTCATTTCCATATACTCTCTGCCTTTTAACATCTTTTCTTTTCTTTTTTATGAAGACAGAGTCTCACTTTATCGCCCTCCGTAGTGTGCTGTGGCATCACAGCTCACAGCAACCTCCAACTCTTGGGCTTAGATGATTCCCTTACCTCAGCCTCCCAAGTAACTGGGACTACAGGCACCCACCAGAACACCCGACTATTTTTTTTGTTGCAGTTTGGCCGGGGCCAGGTTTGAACCTGCCACCCTTGGTATATGGGGCTGGCACCCTACCCACCGAGCCACAGGCACCGCCCGCCTTTTAACATCTTACTTGTGCAACACTGAAACATTTGGAGACTTTCTTCTCTCTCTGACTGCTTTTAGGATCTCTTGTTTGACTTTGGTGTTCTGTACTTTGGTTGAAGGGAAATTTTTGCTGCATGAAATACATAAAAGGGATATTTTTATGTGTTAATTCCCCGAAATGAGAGCAGGAAGGGGAAAAGAAATACACTGATCTAGGTGTTCAAATTCCAACACCAACAAATGGTCAAGTGTGAATTCCTTTCTATTTATCTTGCTTCGCTGCATCTCAGTAAAGGTTAACTATAATCATAATACAGGGTATCCTGAAAGTCTCCCATGAAGTCACCATACATAGAGAAAATAGGAAATTGTAGCTAAAGGTACCTTTAGTTACAAAATATTCTCTTTGTAAACTTTTGTGGCTCGGCGCC